CCTGCCGATGGACAGGGCCCCCCTGCACCAGGGCATCTGCAGCACATGGTTTTGTAGCCTGAAGCTGCTTGACCCCGTGAGCTGCTTTGTGCGGAGCTAAGTCCCCTTCTGGTTTGTCCAATGTGGAGTCACTGGGCCATGGGACTTCTGGGTTGAAAGGGAGGGATCTGGGGTTTAGGTGCCATTCTGGGCCCCTTAGCCCATGAGAAGGCACTGGGCTCACACTGGGCCTCTCCGTTCTATCTCCTGCTATAGAGTATGGCCAAGTCTCTAGCAGGGGCATGGACAGAGATGCCAGTGGTGGTGGAGCCCAGGGAACAATGAGGCCCAGCTTTTTCACAAAGGGTCCCCATGGTGAAGTGACGGTGTCTCTAGACAGGGGAATGAAGCAGCCTGCAGGAGTTGAGAAAAATTGTTTGAGCTCATTGTCTCCATCCCCCCACCACTATGACCCCTAACCACACCCCCAGGTCCTCAGTCCTTCTCCTGTGTGTGCATCAGTCGACAGTGCCTGAGGACTGGGGCCTCTCTCTTTCTGTCCCCCTCAGTGACGGTGGCTTCTAGCTCCCTGAGGACCACTCCCATCCTTGCACCCTCATCGGGCCTAGCATGGGCATCGCCCACTTCTTCAGTTTCTGACTGCAGTGGCTCCATGATGCCGAGAAGAGAGGTACAGCTGGAGAGCTCCTTGGAGGTGGGAAGGGGGCACCTGTTGACCAGCACCCGCCTGGGAGCAGGACTGGAGCTGTGGGAGAGTTGTGCCACCACCCAACAAACAGTCACTGGCCCCTCTCCCAACTTTGCCTCAGCCTGTGTGGACAAGTGATCTGAACACCCTGGGCCTCAGGTTCCTCATCTGTAAAGTGGGAAAGTACTACATTGGATGCTTAGGGGGATGAAATGAGATTTCTGGTTGAGGCCCCAGCTCCTCAGGCCTTGAGCTGGGACCCGCCCTTGGTGGCCACCCTGGTAACTGCACCCCGCTGGGTCTTGCAGGGCTCCAAGGTGGCCCCATGACCCTGATGTTCGGGTGCAGCCACCCAGATGAGGACCACCTCTATCAGGAGGAGATGCTGGAAATGGCCCGGAAAGGGGTGCTGCATGAGGTGCACACAGCTTGTCCTCACCCGCCTGGCCAGCCCAAGGTAAAGGCAGCAGCTGCTGGGGTAGTGGGGGAGCCTTCAAAGCTCAGACTATGGGGGATGCCTGGCTCCCCACACGCCCCTCACACCTCTAAGCCTTCATCTCCTCAGCTCTAAAGGGAGGCGGGTAGATATTACGTTCACTCTTCCAGGAGAAGAGACAGGGCCTGAGACGTTCAGGACCCAGTCAGGGGCACATAGTGGGTTCATCCCAGTGCCCAGCCCCGTGAAGGTCCTCCTCCCAGGATATGTGACTACCCAGGGAGAGCTGGTCCAGGCCAGCTTCACGCTCAAGCACAGCAAGGCTGGAGGATAGCTGCTGCTCCCACCACGGCCCGTGGGCTCTACTGCCCCAGGGGGCACTTTGCCGTGTGAGCCTGGGGAGTTGGGACTGATTCTTGGCTCAGTCCTTGTGAATTTGCCCCATCAGAGCTCCTCACAGATCCACTGCTCCACGCCTATTGCTGAGGTCACTGGCATCTTGTGTGGAACAAGAGCAGAGAGTCGCCGATGGACTTCTGGGCTTCTGTGTAATGGGGAGCCCAGGGCTCTGTGCCCTGCTCTGAATGACAGTGGGGTTCCCAGGGACAGGCGGCCCCGAGAGGCTCCCTTCTATGGGGGGTGGGTACCTGGGCCTCACTGGGCAGGGGAAATGGCTCGAGTGATGCCTCTTTGAAGCTTGGTGAATTCTGAATCAATCCAGGAGCCCCACTGGATGGTCAGCTCCTTGTGACCGTCCATCACCACAGTCCCAGCCCAGCCCTTGCCAGTCAGGGTGTCAGTGCACCTCCGCATCCCAATACTGGTCCCTGTGCAAGGTCCTGGCTGGGAGGGTGCTCACTCTGCTCCTGAGGGTGCAGCCCATCATGCCCCTGCCCACCTCCCCATGGCCAGCAGGCCCGACTGCAAGCTTTTCACCCAGCGGCAGGGGCCGGGACCCACCATCTCCTCTGGTTTCAGGTCTACGTTCAAGACATGCTGCGCCAGCAGCTGGCTGGCGAGGTGCCTCACGTACTCCATGAGGAGCAAGGCCACATCTATGTCTGTGGGGACGTGCGCATTGCCCGGGACGCGACCCACAACCTGAAGCAGCTGGTGGCTGCTAATCTGAGTCTGAGTGAGGAGCTGGGCAGGGGCCATTTTTTCCAGCTTAAGGCATAGCAACTTGCATGTGGGTTAGGGATGGAGGTCAAGGGCACGGGCCAGGGAGCCAGGACTCCAGAGTTAGGCTCAGAACAGTCTTGGACCCCAAAGGAATCCTACAGGTGGCTGGAGGTCAGGGCTGGCCGGGCAGTGAGAGGCCTGACTCTGCATCCTGGTCTGTTATTTAGTTCAACAGAGGCAAATGCCTTGCTTTATGACAAGACTTCTCAGAGCCTCTAACATACTCTGTGCATCGTGACACTTCAAGGTGGTAGCAAGTACGCAGCATCTCCCAAATGCATTTATCTCAGAGCCACATTTCCTGGAGCCTCTGGAGGGACAAGTTCTGGGCAGGCCTCACTGTTCATCATAACCTTGGGAGATGCTTAGACGTCCACATCACAGCAGGCGCCGATGGGAGGGAAAGATCCCAGTTTAGATCCCACATGATCTAGGCTCGGCAGTGGGAAGGCAATGGCTCAGGGGTGTACATGTGACAGGGAAGCGGGGAACCCCAGGGGCTCATCCCAGCCTGGACCTGATGAACGAGAGGTGGCTGGAGCAGCAGAGCTCACACACTGGTCTCTGTTTCCCCGTAAAGAGCCAGAAGCGCTACCATGAAGACATCTTTGGTGCCACAGTTCCCTACAAGCTGAGAAAGGATGGGGCCACAGGGCAGCCCAGCCATCCCAGAGTGCCATCAGCCCCAGGGAAAAGTTAAAGCTGCTGCCACAGAATTCAGTGACGGAGCCAACTCTGGATTACAGCCAGCGGAGATGGAGGGAAATTATCCCCAGCCTCACATCTTATTCCCCCATCTCCTTCCCGCCAACCCTTTTCTTGACCACATACCAAGTCATAGCCTGGACTGAGTGGAACCTCCTGTCTGTCTTGAGTCCACCCGTCCCTGGATAATGGAGAGTTGGGTCTCCCTGGTCCCTTGGAGACAATCTGCAATGCCAGGCACATCGAGTGGGAGCAGATGGAACCGGTTTCTGATTGCACCTCTTGGAGTGACCACCAGGCAGCTGTCGTACCACTCTGTATTAGCTGCCCCAAGTACAGTTATTTATGAGTCTGTATTTAAGAAAAGCAAACCCAAGTCTGCTCCTACAGGCACTTGGACCTTCCTTGTATGACTCCTTGATGAAGATATTTATGTGAAATGCATTGTATTTTAACCACAGTGTGTGTGTGTGTGTGTGTGTGTGTGTGAGCAGTTGTTTTATAGGGAAAGCAGCCCTAAATTATGTAGGAGTGGGCACCGGTGGTGCCACAGCCTGGACAAATATCCCCCACAATGGGACATACCAGCTTGGCCACACTGCTTCTCTGAAATGGCCCCCAGGTACAGGGGCAGTACATGGAGCTGTGCACACATCTGAAAGCCTGGATGGGCTGAGGGAGCACAGGCTCGCCTGCAGGGCCTGAGCTCACCTCCCCCAGGAGGCCTCTCGCTTAGGGCTGTGGCAGGTGCCATTGCACGGGATGCCAGTTCTCTAGTGAAGGCCTGGACCACACCCCGACTTAGAAAGTCACTGTACTTTGCTCTGGGGCCGCCTGTGGCACGTGGGTGTAGCCAACAAGGATTTGGCATCTGGGTGAGAAAGCAGGTGAGGTCGGGCTGTGTGTCAAGGACTGGACAGAGAGTGAAGGACACACATCTTCCCTGGGGAAGGCTTCTCAGGGGCTGAGCCAGGTTTCCTTCTCCAGTGAGAACGAGGAAGGAACTCAGCCGGGTGCTCAGTGGGGTCTGGACAAATCTGGCCCCAGCTTGGCTTTGGTCTCTGCTTCATTGGCTCCATGCCCACTTCTCCCCTCCCCGCTCCTACTCAGATGGTAGGGGGATAGGGGTGTGGAGAGAGGGACATGCCAGCCTCCAGTGTCCAGCAGGGCATCCAGGACAAGGTCAAGAACGTGGTCACCTAGCCTCTTGCCTCTCACCCTCCTATGTGTATGCAAACCCCCTGGGCTCTCGTCCCAGTGCAGACTCTGACCCAGCAGGTCTGCCCCGGGCCCGAGCTGCTGTGTTTCTAACAAGCTCCCAGGTGCTGCTGCTGCTGGGCTGAGGACTACGCTTTGAGCCCCACCCTGGTTCCCGAGGTGCTAGACTCTTGATGGAGGTGGCAGGACGTGTTGGCATCATGTGGGCACAGACCCGGGCCCCCTGCACTAGCTCAGCGGCGGGCAGAACCCCACACACGGAGCCACTTTCCCCAACACACCCCAAATACTAAGGCCAAGGGGCCCACAGCAGAACCCCATAAACAGGCTTTTCTTCCAAGTCAGCTTCTCCTGACCCCACCTGCCGCCTCCTCCCACTAGGACAAGGGGTTCTGATGAGCTGGCCCTGCCATCTGGCCTCCCAGCCCTGCCTCAGACCCCATGGTCTCTGGCCCAGCCCTTGGCCCATCTCGGGGCTATTTCCTGGGTTCACTTCTGTTCCCAAGTTTCCTGCGTCACAGATTCCTGCCCAAGAGGCCTGAGCCCAGCCTGCTTTCTCCCACAGCCTTGTGGGGTTTGTGGGGGACCCACGGGGAGCAGGTGTTGATAACAGGACCCCCCCAGCCCCTGATCAAAATGAGAACATACTCTCTCTCTCAATCCGTCAGCCAGGGTCTCCCCAATTCCAGACTCCAAATGTCTCCAAGCACATTTAATAAACCACAACCAGCCCGTATGTGTGCTAACAAGCCTTTTTCTTTATTTCTTTGAAGGACGTGGGGAGGGGAGAGCCCCCTGCTGAGAGGGGTCCCATCAGTTGGAGGAAACCAGTGGGGTGTCATCAGGGAGCGTTCCTGGAGTGGGCGAAGGGCTGGTGCAGGTGCAGGAGAGGCTGAAGCTGGGAGACAGGGAGGGGCCGAGGAGACCACCTCCCCTGGGGAGTGAAGAGCAGCTGGCCTGGGACTGACTGGAGCTGAAAGGGCTGGGGATGCAGCTGAGAGGCAGACAGGGTGTAGGCCTGGGCCAGGCGCTTGGGAAGGCCCAGCATCCTCCCTTTCTGCCAAGGGGACTGAACCTGGGGCTGCAGCCTGTGTGGACCACCCCTCTCCTCGGAGGGAGGGATTTGGGGCAGCTGGAACCCCAGGTCCTGCCCCGACCAAGGAAGGTGGTCCCAGCCAGCTGCCCTCGGCACTCTTGGCTGTCTGCAATCTCAGCAGGACCAGACAAGGGCATGGTCTCCCCAGAAAAGAGACCTCGGCAGGCTGGGGAGGGCTGGGGCTGGGGCAGGGACGGGGAAGGTGGAGGTGATGAGCAGATCCAGACAGCAACGTGCCCCAGCCCTCGACCCCAGGCCAGGGATCCCTCCTATGTCTGCAAACGAGTCAGCTTGATGTCACCAGCCACTTCGAGGACGTTGATGGCGTGCAGGTTCTTCAGGCGGTGGTTGTAGTCACACAGGTGCTGACCATCCACGTCTACCCTGAGGCAACGGGCTTCACATGTGATCCACACCTGGACACAGTGGCCACGTCATTTGCACCAACTTGTAAAGTCCTCAGACCTAAATGCAGGCTTCTGTCTCCCTCCCTCCTGCCTTCCTTACATCCTAATCGAGCAGGCCCCACACCTGCCTTCTACCCCGCTGAAAGATTCATTCTTCACTCAACATGCCCCGGGCTCTCCTGCCCCCGTGCTTCTGCATATTCTGTTCCCACCGCCCAGAATGCCCTTCCTCTTGTGCTCCCAACTCTGCACCCCATGCCCACACAGATGACTGCGCATCCCCCTTCAGGATTCTCCCCCCTCCCTCCAGGAAGGCGAGCCCTCCCTCCCTTCCCCACCTCCTAACACCCTCCTAGTCGAGTCAGGTGCCCCCTCAGGCCATGTCCCCACCCCATCCTCATTCTGCAGCTGGACCCTGAGCCTCCAGGGCAGGAATGCTGGCTTGTCAGTCCACATCCCTAGAACCCGGTGCACAGGAGGGCTCTGTGCCTGCACTCCTGCAACGCCAGCCTCCTAACCTGTCTTTTCACCCCAAACTTTCTCCAGGAGGCCCTTGGAGCACGTCTGTGAAAATGTCATCATCCCCATCTCGATGGCTGACACTTGCATACTTCCTGCTCACCAGGCATGATGCTAAGTGTGTCACAAACACAATTTAATTTCATTCTTACTTCTCTATGAGATTGATGTTACTATTAGCTCATTTCTTAGATGAGGAAACTAAGACACAGAGCAGTTAAGTATCTTGCTCACACTCACACAGCTATTTGGAAATCAAAGTGTATCACCCTCTGGCTTGAAACACACCAAAACACTGTATTAAAATCCAAACTCCTTTCCATAGCCCTCACAGCCCACATCTGTCATTCAACCCTGGGCGGAGAGTATCAAGGCATATTTAAAGATTGAGAGGTCCAGCGTCACCCCCTCAATGGCTCAGGCAGGCCCAGGCATTGATTTTCCTTCTTTAAGCTCCTGGGGATTTGACTGTGTGGTCGGGGCTGAGAACACCTGCTCTGTGTGAGCCGGGCCTCAGCCGCCCCACCCACACCTCTCTGTCCTCACTGTCCACCTGGGAGCCCCAGTCGCCTGGTCCCAGACAGGCCACACCCAGGACTCCGCCCCCGCAGTAACAGCTGCTCCCTCCACTGCCCAGCCCAACGCACTCGCAGTTCTTTGCCAGGCAGCTCCTTCTACAACTGGGGTCTCAATGGCACGGTGGCCTCCTCGGAGAGCTGTCCTCATCTAAGGCAGCGTGGCCCCTGCCCCGGGGCTCACTCTATCCCTCAATTCTGTTTGCTTTCTGCAGAGCACCTGTTCTTATCAGCAAGGGTCTGGCCGTGCGTTTCTTTCCTGCTTCCTCTGCCTCCTAAACTGCAGACTCCGTGGGGCAGGACCTTGTCTGTCTGCTCCATGCTGTACCCCCAGCCCCTGGGGTGCTTCCTGCACAAAGTGGTCCCTGAGAGAGTAGCTGAAATGATTGTGGAATGAATGAGTGAGTGAATGGAATGAATGAATGGGTGAATAAAGGGAGGACACCTCATTCTGGGGCTCCACCTGGCACTTATCGCTGTGTGACCTCAGGCCAGTAACCCGCACTTGTGAGTCTGTTTCCTCATCTGTAAAGAGCAGATGTGGGACAGTGGGACAGTAATAGTAAAATAATAACAACCAGTGGTTGAACACTTTCTCTTCTGTACGCAGCCCTCACCGCAGAGGCATCAGCTCCCATCTCATTCGAGGGGCCCCCAGACACCCCCACCCGTGCTCCATTTGCCCCATGAGAGCCCCTCTGAGCTGCAGGCTGGGGCAGCTTACCGAGAAGCTCCGGCCTCGGGTGAAGGGCATTTTTCCAGATAGAGTTTTCTCCACATGTCCCCAAGAGCCATCGATCTGTGTGTTGAGGACCACGGTTTTCTCTTTGAAAAGGGGTTTCAGGTGGAAGGCGACGTCACTCCCAGAGCGCAGGTTGATGTGGAACCTGGGGGTGGGTAGCTCACATGGACCTCCTCTGACCACTGAGCTCTAGGTCTCTGCCCCTCCCCCGCCTGCCCAGAGCCAGGGTGATGGCCAGAATGACCCTGGGCTGTCTCTCCTCCCCGCGAGCCCTGGCTTACGACTGAGCGCTGTGCAGGACGGTGCCTGACACGACAATGCTCTTGGAGGGGTACAGGCCACCCGGGATGCTGGTGAAGAAAGGCATCAGCTGTCGGGAGAAGAGGACCAGGTCAGCCAGTGGCAGCCAGAGCAGCCGCCACGGCAGGCACACCTTGTGCCAATTTCCATAAATTTGGACGGTCAACTGAGTTTGACAACCATGCCTGTGAGTAACATATTTTCAGGAAAGAACTCCATGACGTCTTTACTTGATTCGGTAAATGCCAGATGAAAACTTTCCACCCTTTCTCAAATGAATGAGCTTAAACTGTCATGAAAATACCTTTGGCCGGACACAAAAGGACACTTGGGCTGAAAGGGAAGGCCATATAGTGTGTTCATATGAAGGGACAATTTTAAATGTGAAGCTCCTGTTAACAGTCTTCTTGTTTACTTGGGTGTTTTTAGGAACCTCAGCTTCCTAGAGGACTGCTTCACTGCTGGCACTGCCCCTCGCCTCCCACCCTGCCCAACAGAGACAAAACCTCCACCCCTCCTGGGAACACAGTTATGTAGGCTGGGTTGGGATAGCCCATAGGAGGGGTGTGGGATTCTGTTGAAAAGAGACCAGGAAATTCAGTGTGGGAGTGACACACACACGGGCCCCACACAGTCGAAAGGGGATGCTCCAATGTGACACTGAGGTTGTGAGGCTTCAGCCCTTGGATTCTCCATCACTTCCTTCTCATGTCAGCCTTGCGGGACTCCCTGCCATGTCCTGGACCCCATCCCAGTCACCTGCCCCTCCACCCTGGGCAGCCCCACTGACTCCAGGCCTCCCGTCTGATGTGCACTGGCAGGAGGAAGAGCAGCAGCTCCATCCTGTGAGCAACAGTGACATCCTGGGGCTCGTCCTCAGGATGCAGGGCCTCCTCTCCACATGCTGGACCACTGCACTCTCTCTCAGTGACAGAAGGAGCCAATTTCCTGCTGGTGCCTAGGGGACCTGCGTCTGGGGCGACTGGGTGAGTCCAGCCTGGGGCAGACTCTGCTGTCCTCAGGAGAGTTTCACTCTCTGTCGCCTGAGCAGAGGGCCCTTCCCCAATGTCCCCAGTGCCCTGCTACACTGCTTTCTCCCTGAATCTGGGACCAGAGAATTCAGCCCTTGGGGAAGGGGGATGCTGTGGTGCTGTGAGCTGACCAGAGCTTTCAGACTTACTGGTGACATCTGTTCAGTGGCGTTTAGCTTTGAGTTAATCATTGATTGCTTCTGGAAGAAAGAAAACCAGGTTTTAAGCAGCCCTTACCAGCATGGAGACCACCACCTGCCCCCAGAGGGCACCACATAACACAATCCTCTGATGTGAGTTAATCCTGAGGGAGTAACCAGCCCTATGACCCCAAACAGACCCCCTAAATTGGAAGAAAGGGGTGTTTCTTCTCTCAGGGCAGGAAGTTGGGGCAAAGGTTTCCTCTGGAGAAGAAATATGGCTGCACTGTGGCCCCTGGCCTGTCTTTCTTCTCAGTGGAGTTTCTCCAGCACAGCCTCACTTGGCAGGAGGGATGGAAGGTGGGGCCTCGGTCTTCTGTGGCTGCCACAGTGGCAGAGGACTGAGCCAAGAAGTGACTTCTGGGTGTTTCCCAATTCATCAAGGTCCACCCCCAACTTCCTCTCCCCAGCACTCAGCCAGGCAGATGGTCAGGGGGTCCACCACCCTCCTTATGGACAGGGAGGACCTGATGCCTGTCCTGCCTCCACCTTTTAATCCACAGGAAGAACCAAAATGAAGAGGCTCTGAAGAGAGAACAACAGACTGGAAGTGGGAGCAGGATTGGCCGGCCTGATCCCTGGAGTCTGAAGGGATGAGGAAATCAAAATGGCGGTTTACATCGGTGCCACACAAGGGTGAGACCACGGCAAAAATGTGGTCAGAAATGACCCCCTGACTGGCCCTCCCCTCCTTCCTGCTCCCATCAGCCTTCCTGAGCCTGTGGCCTGGATTTCCCCACCCTCCCAGGTTCACTGTGCTTAGGAAGGGGGTGGGGCCAGGGTGGGAGGAGGGGAGCATCCCCATTGGTGCCTCCAGAGGGAGAGGAGGACCTGTCTGATGCAGACCAGCCAGCTTCCCTGAACTCCCATTGCTTCCAGGGCCATATTTCTCCCAGAAGGTGAAAACTGGCATTTACTGAGGGCCTGTTGTGTACGAGGCTCGGGCTCCAGTGCTCTCTGAGGGAGGCAAGCTTAGCTCCTGTTCCACTAGTGAGGAAATGAGGCTCAGAAGGGTTCAGCGACTTGCCCAAGCTCGTCCAGGGAGCAAGCAATAACGTCCAAAAGGGTGCCCAGTTCTGTCTGGTTGTGTCCACCCACCCTGTCCTCCCCAGGCCAGGGCCCAAGTGGGGCTGCCCTGCAAGGGCTCCCCGGAGCCCCATCAGTCCTGCAGCCAGTGTGGCAGGAGGCAGGAGGCAAGTGCCCGAGCTGGACTGCGGTGGGCCACAGGAAGGCTGGGTGGACAGACACCCCTTCCCCCGCCCCCACTACTCCAGGAGCCTAAGGAGGGGCCGGGCCCTGCTCCCCTTCCTGTCCTGGACCCTGTGCCCCCACAGCTGACTGATCTTCTTGCCCTTACTGGTTTCCTCTTCTACTGCCCATGCAAACCACATTCCACATTCACATACTGGTGCCTCCTGTGTGCCTGGCACTGTGCAAGATGCTGGGGATACACACTGAGCAAGCCACAGTCCCAGCCTGCAAGGCTCAGGGGCAGAGGGAAGGAGCGGATGGAGTGATGAGGACAGACACGTAAGCACAGTTATACTGGGATGTGGTGACTGGCACTGCACAGAGATATACATTGTCCACTGGGACATGAGGGGCGGGGCGGCAGGGCATCCAGCGATTCCCCATCCAGGGAAGACGTCCCAGAGGAGTGACATTTCAGCAGAGCATTGAAGGGCCTTTAGGGGTTGACTGCAGGTGAGGTGGCAAATGGTGCTTTCAGCCCCGGGACAGCATGTGGAAAATCTGGTGGCCCCAGTGAGCCTTGAGTGAGCAGTGGAGGATGCGTGAGCTTCATGGGGGTGGGCTGAGGCTGGAAGGTGCGCCGGGGCAAGACTGGGGAGGATGCTGCACGTCCTGCTGGGGAGGCTGCCTCTGTTTAGAAGGATGTGGGTCCTTCAGGATTTTTCAGCTGGGAGAGGATGTGACCAGATTTGCTTACAGGAAGGTCACTGCCGCAGTGGGAGGGTGTGGGGGGAGTGGGAACTAGACCACGGTCCTCGTGACGTGGGGTCAGGGGGCCTGGACCAGGGCAGTGGTTTCAGGAGGGAGAGGCGTTGGTGCCCTGGAGAGAGATTAGGGGAGGGAGGGAAGAACCAGGACGACTCCTGGGTCCCAGCTCTGGGTGCCTGGCGGAGGGAGACAGGGACCCTTTGGTGGGGCCCTAGGCCCTGGCTGGCCTGCTGGCTGGAACCAGCCCCTGGGACCCTCTGACCTTCCTGCTAACTGCTCCACTTCCTGGACTTTCCTTGTTTAACTCACTTGGGGTTTGTACCCCTTGGGCTTGTGTGGGAAATGGGCAGCCTGGGAGAACTGCCTCGTGGAGAAGGCAGGCAGGACAGGGCTGTGTGGGTGTTCTGTTAAAGTAAAAGGCACCACGGGGTGAAGAGAAGCATTAATGAAGCCAAAGAAGAGCGGAAAGGCACGGACGGGGGCCAGAAGGAGAGAGCCAGGCAGGTGTGGGGTGGGGAGGGTTTTCAGGACTGCGTGGAGGGGCAGTGGGGATCATTAGGCTCCCGTGGGTGACAGCAGGATGGTCCCCCCTCTCTCTCTATATATATATGCACCTTTCTCTTTCTCTCATTCTCCTCTCTCTCTCTCTCCATCTCTCTCTCTCACCCCTGTAGAGGAAACAGTTGAATATGAGGAATATGAGAGATGAGGACCAAAGAGAGAGGAGCTGATATTCGCTGAGGGCTTCTCTGTGTTGTCCCCATCTCAGGAGCGAATGGAAATATCGAAAGTGGTAACAACGTGTCCAATCCAGCCTCCTGGGCCCTGCAGGAATGTGGGCCCAGCATACCCCAGTCCTCATAATTTCACGGAAAGTCCAGAAATCAAGATTTGCATGTGATATTTCTTGATTTTTTTAAAAAAATTGTGGTAAAACATACGTCAAATGTACCATCTTAACCAATTTTAAGTTTACAGTGCAGTCACATTGTTGTGTAAACACCACCACCATCCAGCTCGAGAACTTTCTCATCTTGCAAAACTTCTCTGACCTTTTAGATGTTGGCAACACGTGCAAAACTTTTAAAACACAGAGAAGGTCAAGCAGACCCTGGTGTAGTCCCATGTGGTCCATTTCACAACCTCTGACATTTATTGCTCTGTGAACTTACACAAAAACTCGTGGGGCAGCAGCAACTATGCCCCTTCCACAGATGAGGAAACAGGCTGCGAGAGGCCAAGTCGCTAGTCTAAGATCCCACAGCCAATGAGGATGGCAGAGCTGGAATCTGAGCTGGATTCAGTTTGATTCCTAGACCTTGGTTCTTTCTGGACCCACACGGCTTCCTAACCCGGGTGGAAATAGAGAGTGACAGAGAGGAGTGGCTTAGAAGTCTGGGAGATGGAGACAGGTGCTCCAGACAGAGACAGTGACACAAGAAGGATGGGACACGGGAGCTGGAGGTTTATCCCCAGAGTCACACATGGGGTTTGGGCTCACCCAACAGGGCCTAGACACAGCTAGACTGAGCCCACCCTGAGCCCCTGGGACAGGTGCCAGGTGGACCATCTGACCTGGAAGCTGATGGAGGACAGCTGCACAGTGCCGGTGACAGAGAGGGTGTCCACGCGGTGGAAGGGCACACGGTGTGGGTACCGCACAAAGGGGCTCCCGTTCAACATCACCTGCCAAGACAAGCACGTGTTTCAGGAGAGGGGTCCCAGGCCCGGGCGGGGAGCACACCTGGGCCTCTGGGACCCCTGCTTCTAGAAACTAAGACCATCCATTTCTTGTAGGTCAGGGGCACCAGGCTTCAGAGGTATGTCAGTTACAGGAACATGCCTGTGATCCAAACTCAATCTCTGCCTTGCTTTCGTTGTTGGCTTTTTAGTTTTTATGGTTGTTCGTTTATTGCAGTAGGTTTGTGCGTCTAATCATAGCTCACCTGGGTGTTATTTAAATACGTGTAAAAATGTTCATAGGGAACAGAGGAGAGGCGACCTCAGGCTGCACATGGAGGGGATGGGAACACGCACCTTCACAGAGATGTGTGCATACGGATATACACACTGCCACCCATATTCCTAAGCCCAGAGACAGGACTCTGTTGCAAAAGCAATTTGCAACCCCTTGCAAAACTAAGGCATTACTAGAACCTAGAGAAAGGCTGCAACAATGTTGCCAAAAAATGATGTTCTCAGGGACCTGGATGGATCAACAAATACAGCAGAGGAACAGAATGAATTTGGACTTTAAAGACCCAGGAGGCCAAAAAAGCCCATGGTGACTTGTCTGGTTCTTATTCCCTGAGGAAAAGAAGCAACAGGGGCACCTTTAGATGCAGGTGAAGGTGCAAACGGAGACTGCAGCCATCAGTAACACCCTTAAAGGAAATGGTCCTGTCATCTGTCTAATCAGCCAGATCTCAATGGGTGTGAATATTTCAAGGCTCTTCCCCAGGCCTGTTGGCGCTGAGGGGACAGGCAGCGGGAGGGAGGGGAGGAGAGCTCCTGCTCACCTGGAAACATGAGCTCAGCACCAGGAAGCTGAGCTCAAAAGGGCTCCTCCTCTGAAAGGGCAGGTGCGTCTTCTCCTCCTGCCCCCAGCGTCCTTTCTCCTTCGTGTTGCAGACCAAATAACCGCCTTCTTCAAATTGAGGGTTGAAGTGGAAGGCAATGTCATCGTCACTGCGGCCAGTCTGAAAGTTCACAGCAAACCTAGACAAGGGAAATCAGAGAGTCACCTGTAGCCTGGTTTACGCCAGTGGCGGGAACGGGGGGCCTCACCTTCGATTGGTGTCTGTCTGGGAACTTGCATGCGACCAGTGATCCTCAGTCTGTCATCATCTTTTCTGTTCACCTAATTACCACTTAGTGTATTTTTGTGCAATTATTGCATTTTGCATTTACAGTGTGACTTTTTAAAAATAAGTAGAAAGAGGGTAAAGTGTTGATACCAGATAGAGGAAGCATAGGTCTTGGAAACTAATTATAAATTTGTGTCAAAGATGGAAGTCGGGAAACGTGCCTAGAAGAGCCTTCAGCACCAGGTGGACACTGGTTGGAGGCCGGCCCACGTCTGCTCAATTAGGAAAGAAGAGAACAAACTTAAAGCACATGTGAAATTGATGGAACTATACCAACAAAGACAAGGTCTAAAAAGGGAGACATACCAAAAAATAAAATAAAAATGAGATAAAATAGGAGGCGTAGAACAAATGTGAAACTCCAGGTGTGAGAACTTTATCAAATTACATTTAATGGCAAATTTAAATATTTCAACTTTAGCCAAATGGTGGTTCTGAGGTAGACGAGGGCAGTTACGGGAAACAGAGGAAGGGAGATCTTGCACGTCCGGGTCATAGTGTGCAGAGTTCAACCCTGTAACATGATCACCTGCCTCTGGGCTTGCCTGCTTCTCTCCTTAGGCTGAGAGCTCCCGTCATCCCTATGTCTACGGGGACTCTATGTTAATGGTGCCAGCACGCTATTGGCAGATGGCAGTCGTGCCATTCAGTGTTGGCAAGGGCCAGGTCATACTCATCCGGCATGTCCAGGTGCAGGCAGCTTGGAGGGTGCTGGGTGAACCATCCTGAGCTGACAGTCACCATGGTTTGCTAACGGGCGAGGCTGCAGAGAAACCACAGTTCCAGGTACCTGGTTCCACTGGAGGCTAAAACAGTTCCACGGACAGTGATCTGAAGTCCCTCCTGGAGACCCCCTTGGATTGTCGCAGAGAAGGGGGCGACCTGCAGAGAAAAGACAGATTCTCCACTGAAGCCTCCGGAGGGAACAGGCTTGCTGACACTTTGAGTTTAGATTTCTGACCTCCAGAACTGAGACAACAAATTTGTGTTGTTTTAAGCCTGGCCACTAGGCTGCTATGGAATTTGGACCAGTGTCTGTGAGTGTATATGTGTGAGAGTGTGTGCGCGTGAGTGTGTGTGTGAGTGTGTTTTCCTGCGTGTGAGTGTGTGTGAGGCAGGGATCTCGGCAGGCAACAACACTCACTCTTGCTCTGTATGGCACAGGAGGGTGGTTTTTGTGCTGGTTTTCTGGTCCACAGGCCTGGGCTCGCCTCCAGCTCCCGTGCTGGCAGCTCTGCTGTTGGGCGGTCACTGACCTGTCTGCACCCACGTCCCTCCGTGGGACGGCGGCACCAGAGCCCCAGCCTGGCTGTGGTCTTGGGAGGATTAGATGAGGAGCCACCTGGAAAGCCCTGACAGCAGCTGCTGTTGGTATCAGGGTGACTTCATCCCTGTGCCAGCTCAGAACTGCTCTCTCCTCTGGCCGTGCCTGGAGCCTGAGAATGTTTTCCTTCCCTTCCTATCCAGAAGTGCAGACAGCAGAGTCAGGCCCTACAGGCCAGAGGGTGGGCAGCCTCCTTCTGGAGGCCCAGTATCACCAGAGGGCGCCCAGCCCGCCTGGCAGAGGGGGCTCACCTACAGGAGGCAGTGCGAGGCTTACCGCCAGAGGGCGCTGCTGCCCAGAGGTCCCGAGGCCCTTCTGGCGGCGAACTTCCCTGTCTGCATTACCTCGTTATCCTCACAACAACCCAGGCCATTGTTAGTGCCACCTTCACAGATGAGGAGACCGAGGCACAGAAAAGTGTGGTAACTTGCCCAAAGCCACACAGCTGGCATCCTGGCTCCTGGCTCACTGAGCACTTCCCCAGACCAAACAGCGAGTCCTGTTCTGTCTGTGGTCGCAGCCTCGTCCAGGCCCTCTGGGGAGCTGGGACTGAGCAGAACAGCTGGCCGCCTGCCCTTCCCGCTGCACTTTGGAGGCAGCAGCATGGTCCCTGCTGCTGGAGGTCAGCGGGTCCCCAGGGAGCTCCTGGTGCCCATGGGGACCACACCAGTCCCCTTTCCTGTCCGGACTCCAAAGCCCTGTCTGAGCTCTCTGTTGCCCACGGGAGGACTGTCCTTCTGATTTGAAAAACCTGGCTTTTGAATCCAAGGACTAGAAAGTAAAAACCAGTCACCAGAATGATACAGTGGCAGGGCCTGGCCAGGGCTCCAGGATCCCCAACTGATGGAGAACACGCCCAGGGGGACATGTTCTGCCCCAGAGGCCCTGCTGCCTTCCTACCTTCCCCATTATCGCTCTCTGTGGGCACCTCCCTCCACTGGGGTGAATCAAGGCACCTTCCTCCTCTGCCTCTTACCATCGGGACCTGTGTCCAGTGGCCCCAACCTCTCTGAGCCGCAGTTCTTCCCTGTGTGACGTGGGGATGACAAGCCTCATGGGGTTGAAATGAGGCCGCCTGCAGACAGGGCCTCCACACAGGGGGCACAAAGGTGCAAAAGGCCGCCCTCTGTGCCCCACCCTGCAGGGACAGCCCCACTCCTCTCACTCCCGAGACGGCCCCTCTGCGGGCACCCTGGACCAGCCCTGGCCTGATGACCTCACCTCAGGGAGCACCAGCTCCTCGGGGGCCTTCCCTGCTGTGCCCAGACTCCTGCCAACACCGAGCCCTTCCGAAGCCCCGTGTGTGCCGGGCATGTGCAGACACCCTAGAGATGCTGCCTCCCTTCATCCTCACCCCAACCCTGGGAGGGGGACAGGGTCACCCCATTCTACAGACATGGAAACTGAGGCCCACAGAGGTCAAAGGAGCTTGCCTGAGGTCATCCAGCTAGTCGGTGTCTGAACCCAGGAAGGCCAACACCAACGTAAGTTCCCTCGACTGCCATGCTGGGTTGTCATCCTCCCCAGAAGTCCTGTTTACTGCCCTTCATGCAAACAAAGCATCACTCTTCTCATCACTACTCACGCCTGTCTTCTACCCCCTCCACCAGCAGTAGGATCAGACCCCCCAGAGGGAGCTGAGGAACCCTTTGTCACACGCAGGAGTCCTGATGCTCATCACCCTCCAGTCCTGAGAGGCACAGGGGAGAGCAGTGTGGAGGAGAGGCTGTGTCAGGATCGCCCCATCTGGTATTCCTGCCCTTCTTGTGTTCTCTTTAGGATGCCCCCCTCCCCTGCCCCCTGCCTCCCAAGATTTGTTTCCTCAGAGCCCCAGAGCTGCTTCCCCCGGGCCAGCTCTACCCCATGCCCACAGCCCGGCACTCACTGGGTTCAGGTAGGGGGGCTGTGTGCTGCTGGCCATCTCTCCGCCACCTCTGTGGCCACCACTGCTTTTCACACCAGCCGGCCAGTCATCTGCACTGGGGAGGACTTTGCAAAGACATAGATACTAATGCGATTTGGCAGTTATTCAATGGGGAGGAGCCAGAAGCAAGAGGAGGAGGATCTAGAGAAAGAGAGAAGGGTAGAGTCCCGGGGAAGGTAAGGTGACTGGTGGGACCCGGGGAGAGGGAAGTGGACATTGCCCACCCCACTGACCCTTCCTCCTCCCCCCTCCTGTGATGCCCCCCTGAGACTGAATCATATCTGGTCATAGAGGTTCAAACTGCCTGACCACACTGACATGACTGAGTTTCTAGATGATACTGCCCATTAGTATGTAACTGTCTCCTGAGGATGCTCTGTCAGTGTCCAGAAAGCAGTGGGGCTACTTGACAGGGCCTGTGGGGCTGCACATGCCTGTGCCCAGGGTGGTGGTGGTGGTGGGAAGGCCTGGTGATTCCCATCTGGCACACAGTAAATTGAGGCTCAAAGAGTCTAAGGGCCATGCTCAAGGTCACACAGCTCACTAGTGGCAGCCTGAGCTATAGGAGGATACTTAGGGTCTCAGAAAAGTATTTCTCCCTTTTAAGATTTTATTTCTTGTACAAAAACATAATCATGTAGAAAGAAATGTTTGCAAAGAGAAAACATCATAATGGAGATTGTCGCCCAGGAGTATTGTGGTGCCCTGGGAGCTTCTGAGCATCTCTCTACGAGTTTATCTCCTTCTTTTCTTTTCTTCTCTGTTTTTTCTGGGCTTCAGAATGGAGAGACAGGAGAAGTCTTGGACATAAGAGAACATTCCAAGTGACATGGGGGTGGGGGAGACATATTAAATAAACTGTCCTTCATTGGCTCTAGCACCTGGTTAGGGGACAGGATTGAGTGAGAGCGTTGAGCAGGATAGGCTGGGTCGGGCAGTGGGGAGGGGGAGGGTGAAGTCAAGCAGCTCCTTGTAATGTGCTAGGCAGAGGCCCAGGGGTCAAGCCAAGGGAAGCAGTTCAGGGTCATTCAGGCCCCGGTGGGTAGAAGGAAACCCTAGGCCGAACATTTGTCTACACCCCTCTTCCTCATGGCACCTGGCTTGATGTCCCAGAATTTGCAAAGACAGACTTCTTTGAGACACTTCTATAGACTGAGGCCACGTGTCCCCTTGCTCACCCTCCATCCCCACTATATTCCTGCATCCACCAGAGTTTGAAAGGATTTAAGGGGCAGACAGCACAGTTGGAGAAGAAAAGAGGGAAAGGAAGGGAAGTTCTTTGGGACACCAGGAACAATGTCATCATTGATTGGCATATAGAACAACTGGAACTCCCATTCACTGCCAGGTTGGAGTGTAAAATAACATAACTTTGGAAACTTCTTGGCAGATTGTATCAAAGTCAAATATCTACTTCTCCTATGTCCCGGCTAGACGTTTACCCAAGAGAGGTAAAGACGCACATGTGTGTTCACAGCAGCTTGACTCACCATAGGCCCAAACTGGAAAAAACACAAATGCTCACCACCAGGTGAAAGGGGAAGCAAATTGTAGTATTCGCACAATGGAATACCCTCAGCAATCAAAAGGAGCCACGGACACAGGAAACAACATCAATGAATCTCACGGTTGAGCAGAAAAGCCAGAAACACGTGAGTACATGCTGTGCTCACAGGTCAGAATGACGATTTCCCTTGCAGGGGCCCGAGGAAACTTCTGGGGCTGGAAGTGTTCTGAGCTTGATCTGGATGGTGGTCACACAACTGTTTACGTATGTAAAAGCTCAGCCAGCAAATTAGAATCTGTGCATTTTACTCTGCATATATAACATCTCAATAAAGTTCTTTTAAAAAAGCAACAAACTCCCAGAGCCCAGGGAGAACAGGGACAGCAGAAGTTGGAGCAAATCAGCACTTTGCTGTCACCATGGACCTTGGAGGCGAGTCACAGTGAGTTCAGCCCAAAACGGAGAGCCCCAGGGTCCTCTGCCCCTACCCTGTAGGGAGGTCTGACAGTCAAACCCAAGGCCAGTGATTTTTCTAATTAAGACAGTAGGGAGGCATCTTCAAGACACTGTGCCAGGGCACAGTTGACCTCAGCGGATTGGCATCACTGTGGGGTCACCATGATCCCCTTGCTCTGGGCTAAAGGAAGTGAGAGGCAGCCCTTGGGAAAGTTCCCTCTCAGAGCTCTGTTATTCAAAGCCCCAGACATCTGTCTGAGGCTCTGTGTTCTCTGCACTGTAGACCGAAGGGTCTGTTCAAAGTGTGAGTCTGCCGCCTCGCACCCGTTAGGATGGCGACTGTCAAAAAAACCAGAAAGTGACAGGTTGCTTAGGATGTGGAGAAGGAAAACTTCGGCACTGTTGGTGGACAGGTCAAATGATGTGGCTGTTGTGGAAAAGGTGGTGTAAGTGCCTGACAATAAGCTGCTGATCGTTGAGGCATCCGTTTCAAAGATATCCATCTCAGATTAACACACTGCCAGCTGTGTGACACAGCCACTTGCAAAACAACCAGATGAGGAACTGCTCTGTCCCCATCCATGAAGTTCTCCCTCTCACAAAGCCCTGGGGGACCTAGATCACTGACCGAGGGGCGACCCTGCTCTTCTCTTCCTGCCCCCTAATGCCCACCCAGCGAGCCCATCCTTGGGACTAGAGCATCTGTGGATTTTGGTATCTGCAGTGGTCTTGGAACCAATTCCCGACAGATACCAAGGGACGACTGTAACTGACAGGACTAATAGAAAATCACTAAAGAGATGGATGATTGAAACACAACCAACCCAACCTAACTGTCATTTACGGAACGGTGCTCTCAACAACAGTAGGGTATACCTTCTTCTCAAGCACACATCAAAATCAAGCCAAAACCACAGCAGACTTTTTTCTGGGGCTTGGGGGGAATTAACAAGCTGATTCTAAAGTTTTTATGAAAAGGCAGAGGATCTAGATGAGAAAAGCAATCTTAAAAAAAAGAAACAAGGTTCACTTACAATATTTTGATTTCATGACTTACTCCAGTGCTAGCCTAATCAGGATGGCAAGGTATTGTTGTAAAGATAGACAATTAGGTCAGTAAGAATAGAAAGTCCTGAAATAGACCCACACTTATTTGGTCAACTGACTTTCAACAAAGACACCAAAGCAACTTAATGTGGAAAGAAACTCCTTCTTAACAAATGGTGCTACACACACTAGCTAGCTACATGCAAAACGGTGAAGCTTGATCCAAGGCTCACCATACACAAAAAATAATCTCAAAATGGATCATGGATGTAAATGTAAAACCCAAAACTATGAAGCTTTTAGGAAAGAAATTAGGAGATTGTCCGTAAGCTTAGGACAGGCAAAGCCTTCCCGGACAGCACCCGAAAGCTCACAACCATAAAAGAAAAGAAGATAAAATAGATTTCATCAGGTTAAAAACTCCTGTTCATCAACCTGCTAAAATCCTTATGGTTATAAAGACTGACAACACCAAATGTTAGCAAGAGTGTGGAGCAACTGGAACTTTCACTAACTGCTGGTGAGAGTGGTAAACCACACCACAACGGTAAGCTGCATTGGAAATTGTTCCGGTAGTTTCTCATAAAGTTAAGCATGCCTTCCTTATAACCTAGAAATTCCACCCCTAGGTATTTACTCAAAGTAAATAAACTCGTATGTCCACACAAAGACCTGTGCAAGAATTTCATCACAGCTTTGTTCATAAATAGCGCGAGTGTCCAACGGAAAGCAGATGGATGAACAATCCTAATGCGATCATACAACAGAACACCATGTGGTAATAAAAGAACACACTGCTGATAAACACAACAGAGAGAAGTTTCAAAAAAGCTGCTGAGAAAAAGAAGGCAGACACAAAATGTGCACACTGAATGCTTCCATTTATAGGAAGTTCTAGAACAGACACAAGAAATCTGTGGTGAAGGAAATCAGACAGTGGTTGCCGCTGGAGGAGTAGGAGTGACCTGAGAAGGGGCCGGAGGGATCTTTCTGCGGCAATAGAAATGTTCCCTTTCTCAGAAAGGAAATAGGCTATTTGCATGTATGTACTTGTCAAACTCACCATTCTATACATGAGGGTGCTGTGCTTTTCACTGTGAAGTCCACCTCAATTTCTAAGAAATAGTTTGAGATGGGCCCAAGGAACTCAATCCCGTGTGTGTTTCAAATTTTTTGTTTTAAAAAAAGCGCACAGCCGGCCCTGCTGTATGTCAGCAAGAGAGACAGTGAGGATGGAGAGATGCCCTATGTCACCCAGGAGAGACCATGCAATGTGAGGTCCCCGAATCATCTTCCAACCTGGACGGACCACTTCCATGCCCCTGCTGACTCTCCCACTGGCCTGGGAATTCAAGGAGGAGCATCGACATGCAGACAACACGCTCCATCAGCAGAATCTTCCCGCCTCCTTAGTGAAGGCCCTGCTCCAGCTCTCACGCTCCTTCTCTTGGCCTCTGCCTGGCAAAGGCTCACAAGGGCTCTGGCACCCAGGTTGTGGACAGGGCCAATCAAAGGGCAGCTGGGTTTCCTGGGACTGACTCCCTGATAGCCAGTGATGAGCCCCACCTGCACCCAGGCCGGCCCTTTGTCCACAGGGGCTGCTGCCTGAGTCACTCCTTCCCCCATCAGGAATGGAAACTGAACATTTCTTTGGAGGAAAGGGGAAGGAGGGAGGAGGCTTGGCTTGGAAGGGGAAGGACACGAGGACCCCTAGTTGGGGCAGAGAAGGGACCCTGGCAGGGCAGGGTGGCAGGCTTCCCCTGGCTTGGCCCCCAGCCCCTTCCCACCCCTCCCTCCAGCTGAGCTCTCATTAGCAGAGCCGGGCAGGGCAGGTCTCGGCCTGAGGAGAGGGATTTAAACTAGTCAGAGCTCAGGAGCCCCTTCCCACTGGAATCAGTTGTTTTCCAGGAAAAGCAGGGTGCACATACCACCATGACACCTACCCCCTTTTCAGCCCTCAAGCTAATATTGCAAGCACTGGAGGAAGAGAAGAAACAGCATAGTGACACTCGAACTTTGGTGAATCAAGACT